TAGTTGCCCTCCCCTCTCCCACCCTCTCTCTTCCCCTCTCCCACCTCCTTTTCCCAGTCTCCCCGAGTTTTGGTCAATAAAGAGAGTTTCTATTTTTGAACACACGTGTCCTTTATTTTGTACATCAGGAAGGGCCCCCGATGGGGAGGACTCGGGTGGCTCTGCAGGCTCCTCGGGGTGGAAGCTTTCCTGCAGCTCCCCGATTGACCCCCGCTCCGGATGGCAGCCTGCGGCAAGTGCAGCTGGGCTGATGGCCGAGTGCTGTGATGTGCCGAGTGTGGGCATTCAGGGCACTCCAAGCCAGGACTGCTTTGCTGTCCCTCATCAAGTTAGACAAATGAGCGGGGAACCCCTGAGAACTGTCTGTCCGGGGTGGGGGCCGGGTCCCCTTAAGCACAGCTCTCGGCTAGCCTGAGACAGCAGCTCCACACTCCCTAATCTGATGCCCTGCCGGCACTGCTTCCGGCCATCCTTATCCTCGGTTCAGGGTCCACTCAATGTGGACATGCTAGTTCGAATTAGCAAAATGCTAATTTGAACTAGTTTTTAGGTCTAGATGCACTAGTTCGAATTAGTTTAGTTCGAATTAACTAATTCGAATTAAGTTAGTTCGAATTAGTGCTGTAGTGTAGGCATACCCTATGAGTTTTGTTTGCAGGAATGAATTGTTATCCTTTTGGGTTTTTTCACAAGAACAATATTTTATGTCCTCTGCTCTATAGGATGCACTGAAGGCTTTAAACTTTGTCATATTAAAATGAGGGCAGAATTTGACCCTCTCTTGCTAGCAATATAAAAAAATCCAATCAAATGAAAAACACAGAACTTTGATTTTGGCAACTAAAGAGCATCTTGATTCACTGATGAGAACAAAGCAGGTGTCTATACATTGAAACAATATTCTTTTTTAAAAGTATGAATGCACGTTGTGTAATTTATACGTGAAGAGAATAGGTTGTACCCACACATGCATTATAAATGTTTATTTTGGGCTATTTTATTTGAGGATTTCTGGTGATGCAAAATACAGATTGTTTGCAAGTTGCACTTGGAAATCATTGCTGTTTGTGCCTCACACAAACCAAAAGGAACGTTACTGTTCAACACAGCCTTGAGTATCTCATAACAGTGCATATCCATGACTTACCCGCAGTTTATAACTCTCTCCAACCACTGAGGATATTATTGTGTTCATGCCATGCTCTAGCTGTCTTCTTATCTTAGGATGTCGTGTGTTCACAAGAAATGCGTATGTTTTTTCTGAAACTGAGAGTTAAAATGTTAATTAATTCCTACACCTGACATTAGCAGTATTCATTAGGATATGATGCAGTCTTTGGAAAGGTTGAAAGCCACTGGTCTAGAGTATTGTATCCCTTTCAGGAGTCTGATTTGTCTTACCTATTCCAAGTTTCTCCTCACTTAAAAAATACTTGCTTACAGATTGACAGAAATACAAGTGTCAAGCAGGGGGGAGGCAGGCGGATCCACAGAACCAGCACGCGTATTAGCTCCAGCCTGCCCCCCGCACCCTTCCTACTGCTGCCTCTCTATAGGAGGCAGCAGCACAGGGGTGGGGTAGCAGACAGATCCAGTACTCACGGGGAGTCTACTTAAAGCCAGCTCCTTACGGGTAACAGCTCCCACTCCCCCCACCCATTGCTGCCTCTGTAGTAGAGGCAGCAAGGGAAGGATGAGGGGAGTGCATGTAGTCGATAGGATTAACCGATAAACTCGACTATATGCTAAATTCCCTATTTAGCTCCATGTTAGAAGCCTTTGGTTTTGTGTCAAACATGTGAGATTTGATCCCTGCTGATGACCCCAATACATGTATATCTACTGCTGCTCTTCAGAGAACCATGTTGCCATTGGAACCACGCCTACACAATAACTACTGAGCGAATTCTGTGCCAAAAAGTTAAAAGTTCTGCCAATTTTAGTGTTCAGTAAATAAAAGTGAATACTCCCTACTGACATGCTGGAGCCCAGGGCACTGTCTGCCTAAAGGTGGGAGATCATCTTACAGCCTGCATCCTCCCCTCCCCAGACTTGGTGGTGAGGTTGCACCAGACCCTGACAGGCACAAGGACTGGGCCTGCCCCAGAAACATCCTAGGGCTGGGTAGTGCACAGGTCGGGTCAGCCCAAGTGTGATAGAGCTTAGTGTGGGGCGGATACAGGTGTGGGGCGAGGGGGTTCTGTGAGGAGCAATCTGGTTCTAGGCAGCTCAGCAGAGTGTCCAGTTGTGGGACGCAAGGGGGCATTTATGAATGACAGGGGCTCACTGAGGGTTCTGAGTGCAGGGGGTGAAGCTTGTTGGAGGGGTGTCTGGGGGCATGGGAGAGCAGCTCCCCATACAGTGATTTCTTCCACAGCTGAGGAGCAAAGGGGGCAAGAAGCAGAGCGAGTGGGGATGTAGAGCTTCCTGGCACCAAGGGAGGTTTCTGGGGGTGGATCTGTTAGAACCAGCAGTGGAGTCTGGTGCAGGATAGAAGCCAATAGCTGGGACATCCTCACAGGCATGGTGTCTGGGGGCATGGGAGAGCAGCTCCCCATACAGTGATTTCTTCCACAGCTGAGGAGCAAAGGGGGCAAGAAGCAGAGCGAGTGGGGATGTAGAGCTTCCTGGCACCAAGGGAGGTTTCTGGGGGTGGATCTGTTAGAACCAGCAGTGGAGTCTGGTGCAGGATAGAAGCCAATAGCTGGGACATCCTCACAGGCATGGTTTGCTATAACCCCCTACCTCACAGTCTCTCTTCCCCTGCCCTGGCGTGCCCCCTCGGCTGCCAGGGCTAGGTAGGGGGAAATGGGCCTGCTTAACAGGCGAGCCCCAGCTGCTGCCAAGGAGATGCCATATGTGGGGCTCCTGCTTTCCCCCTCACACTCCTATCCCCTTCCCCTCCTCACTGCCCCTTATGCGTATGTGCTTTGTGTCCCACTGTTGAAGGAAGTCAGTGGGCACGGGTCGAGGATATGTGACAGTCTGAAGGTGACTGCATTGCGGATCATTAGAAAAACCCCATTTAAAGAGAAGCTCTATATCCCCACTCGCTCTGCTTCTTGCCCCCTTTGCTCCTCAGCTGTGGAAGCTGAGGATGTTCTGTTTGAAACCAGTTCAGAGACGAGCAAATGTGCCTTGGCAGATCAAAACCTAGTGGACAAATGGTTGGGTCAAGTGACAAGTGATTAAGGACTGGTATCGCTGATCACTCGTTGAGCCAAGCAGAGTTAAGTCTTGTCCCATGGTGGCATAAATCACCATTAGGGCATCTAGAAAACAGGCAAGCAGGCAGGGGGTTGAAGAGGTCTGCGTGCAAAGGGCGGTCGCTATTCTCACTGCTCTTAGCCAGCAACATAGAATCATAGAATACTAGGACTGGAAGGGACCTCGAGAGATCATCGAGTCCAGTCCCCTGCCCTCATGGCAGAACCAAATACTGTCTAGACCATCCCTGATACACATTTATCTAACCTCACTTCTATATCTCCAGAGATGGAGATTCCATAACCTCCCTGGGCAATTTATTCCAGTGTTTGACCACCCTGACAGTTAGGAACTTTTTCTTAATGTCCAACCTAAACCTCTCTTGCTGCAGTTTAAGCCCATTGCTTCTTGTTCTATCCTCAGAGGCCAAGATGAACAAGTTTTCTCCTCCTCCTTATGACACCCTTTTAGATAACATGACAGAGGCTTTGTCATGGCAAATATGGGGTGGTGCTAAGTTACCAAGAAGTGGTAGCCAGGGCAATTAAGTTGCTCACAAAGGGTATGTCTACACTACCCTCCTAGTTCGAACTAGGAGGGTAGTGTAGACATACCCTCAGTGCAAATGAAGCCCGGGATTTGAATTTCCCGGGCTTCATTTGCATAAGCCGGGCGCCGCAGGCTTCATTAGCATAAGCGGGGAGCCGCCATTTTTAAATCCCCGCTGCTTCGAACCCCGTGCAGCACGGCTACACGGGGCTCGAACTAGGTAGTTCGGACTAGGATTCCTATTCCGAACTACCGGTACACCTCGTTTCACGAGGAGTAACGGTAGTTCGGAATAGGAACCTAGTCCGAACTACCTAGTTCGAGCCCCGTGTAGCCGCGCTGCACGGGGTTCGAACCAGCGGGGATTTAAAAATGGCGGCTCCCCGTTTATGCAAATGAAGCCCGGGAAATTCAAATCCCGGGCTTCATTTGCAAGTGCGGTATGCCTACATTACCCCGCTAGTTCGAACTAACGGGGTAGTGTAGACATACCCAAAGTCCTAAAAACACTACACATAGCTTTGTGAAGCTCTAGGTTGATCAGCCTCCTGTGTCACAAGCAACAACAGACGTGAGCATGGTACTCTGCTGTTGAATAGCAGAGGGCTAGAGCTGATTTTTAAGTCTGGGCACTCACACCTTAGGCTAAATCAGTCAATTGTTTACATCTCTAGAAATCCACTACTAAGCACTTCTGAGCTTAATTTAATTCATTTTTAATTACAGTATGTCATGGATTTATTTTTGGTCTTCATTCAAAATTAAAATTTGTTGCAGGTTAGTTCTGACCTATGCTTGAGGACGGTCGTTGAAAATAAAATTATAAATGTACTTGACTTTTTCTTAAAAAGAGAAGCTGATCTGATGCAGATACTTCATTTCATTAATGAAGTTGAATGGCTGATATTTATTCCCCTCCTCAGTTCTGTTGGTTTGCTGATTTTTATCCTCCATATACAATCAAACAGCAGATCAAGGAGGCTTAGGAAGAAACATAGATGCCTTGAAACAGTGTCCAACTCTATACCCTCTTAGAAAATACAGATGCTAGTGCCATATGCTGCTGTGACTTTATTAAAGCCAATTTCCTCAAAATGGAAACAAGGTAGGTAATAGGGATGTTAAAATGTGTTTCATTAAATAAACGTGTAACCATTTGGCCACCAGGTTTTGATCTGCCAAGGCGCCTGTGCACATCTCTGAACTGGTTTCAAACAGGGCAGGGGAAATGTGTTGCCAGTCTTTACAACAGCTGAGGATCTCTCCCACCCTTTATTTTTTAACTAAGCAAGCCTAAACAGGAATAATGAAAAAGAATGATATAACAGACATACCTTTTGAAGAATATTTTTTTGTTTTGACATTTGTGAAGAAGACTAGTGGCCTGCTTAGTATAGTTTCTCTGTAGACTTTATAATCACGATGGCTGGTGAGCTCTACATTCCTGTTAAAAATCAATTACAACATTATTAGCTACTCTCCTTGTTTAGTACATTCTTACCGAGCAGAATTTTATAAAAGAAAAAAAAATGTAATTTGGATTTCTACTATTCAAGTTTCCTTTCACATAAAACCATAGAGAAATGCAGGAGCTTGAACAAGATTTGTTTACTTCACCAAGGAGATAGACCAGGGGTTGGCAACCTTTCTGAAGTGGCGTGCCAAGTCCTGCCCTGGGCTGTGCCATATTCCTGGGAGGGGCCGGGGGCTCTCTCCACCACACACCCCACTTGGTCTCCTGCTTCTACTATTCAAGTTTCCTTTCACATAAAACCATAGAGAAATGCAGGAGCTTGAACAAGATTTGTTTACTTCACCAAGGAGATAGACCAGGGGTTGGCAACCTTTCTGAAGTGGCGTGCCAAGTCCTGCCCTGGGCTGTGCCATATTCCTGGGAGGGGCCGGGGGCTCTCTCCACCACACACCCCACTTGGTCTCCTGCACTTCACTCCAGCTTTTCCTGTGGGGAGGGGAGGAGCAGCATGTGCGCGCAGTTCCCTGCAAGCCAGATTCAGTCGGGCGGGGAGGGGGGGGGGGGGTGGGGGGCCGCATGATTCTGGTTCGCCAGCACAGGTTCCCCATTGTGGGTGGGGGGACTCCATTCATTGCACAAGCCACTGAAAATCATCTTGCGTGCCACTTATGGTTCACGTGCCGTACACTGCCAACCTCTGAGGTAGACCAAAGTTTTCAAACTCAAGTGGCTAGACATCTAAGTAAAACACATCTGCAGAAAAAACAGGCTGTTTTAATTTAGATGCACACCTATAGGTGCCACATTTGAAAAAGTTGCCAATACTGTAGATTTACTTGAAAAACTCATGCTATTAGGTCTTTTTCTTAATGTTTCATCTTCTGAAGTTGAGGTTATGAATGACTCAACTTCCATTAAAAAAAGTATGTTTCTAGCCCTCATAGATGAAGAGAAAAAGATTGGAAAACCATCTCAGACTCAAACGTCAGAAGGTAAATTAAACAAAACAAAACAAAAAACACAACCCAAAAACAAAACCCTGAATGTGAGGGTTTTGATTAATTCTCAATTTTTGGGGTAGGAGGGCTGAATCATGGTTTTTTTTAACACTTGGGATTGACAATAGTGGATATACTTCTATGTAATCCCACCTCATTTTGTAATACAGTAGACTTCCGATAATCCGGAACCTATGGGACCTAGATGGTGCCGGATTATCACATATGCCGGACTATCAGGAGATACTATAAGATAGTTATATATATACTGTATACATTATATACTGTATATAGTGTTCTTAACCCTTTTTATTGTACATACTGTATACAGTATACTGTAATGTTTTAGTATTTTTAAGCCTTTTTTACTCTTTTTGCTCAGTTCAGCTGCTGCCGCTGTTACCGTGTGACTCATTTTTTGCTGAAGCTCACTCACTAGGCTCTTGCCATTTTGATGCCGGACTATCAGGAGTGCCGGACTATTGGATGCCGGACTATTAGAGTTTTACTGTAAAACTACAAAATGAAGCATTTAAAAATACAAACTTTGCTTCACTCCTTTCCTCTCAAATTATAGATGGAAAAATGGGTAAATGCAGCTGTTGCTGCATGAAACAAGAAAAAATAAAATGTTTGGGAGCTAAAACAATTTAATGGCATTCAGATTTGTTGGATTTAAATCTTAAATCATAGCGACTCTGAAAGCAGCTCACAACAATTTCTCGCAATCAGTCTTCTATAGATTTGTAAAAAAAATAAGTAATAGTATAGCCTTAGAGCACAAAGTGTGTCTGTTTTTAGACTACATATGGGCAAGTATGAGTTTTAAAATATATCTTCTAGCAATCTGATTTTGGAATACATGATAAATGTGTAAAGCACTGTATTATTTCGCTCCAGGTTTTCAGCCCCAAACATGAAATTTCCACCTGATTAGCAAAGTTTCCTCTTATCCTGCAGTTTATATGAAAAAGGAGAAATAAAAATCTTTGTCAAGAAAATACAGATTACCCTAGTTACATGTTTGGCACAGCAAATCTACAAAAACAACGGAAGGAAAATAAAATACCACACCTCCTAGACAACTTTTCAGACTCTCATTTTCAGCATGGCAATTTGACTATATTTTGAACAAATTGTTTTTGCAATTATTACAACTCAGATGGCTTTAAATGAAATATACAAGAAATATTTCAAATTAAACTTTGTATAATTTACTCAAAGAAATTTACTCAACTTGTTACAGCCAAGTTATAAATCTCCAAAAAATAGAAGTTTAAAATGGAAACAATAACAGACCCGCAGCAAAACAGCAATGTGAACAGAGGTACTTTCAAAGAATTAAGTTGGGCCTTATCATAGGTGCTGGAAATAAGGGTGCTGCCACAACCCTTGGCTTGAAGTGATTTCCATCATATCCAGGATTTAGAGTTTGGTACAATGGCTCTCAGCCCCCCCACTGTACAAATTGTTCCAGAATCTCTGGAACTTGACTACATTTATCAGTAGGAATGTTAGAGTGTAAGGACTAATTGTTTAACCAATAAGCTTATCAGTTTTGTTAGTTACACTCAGCAGCTACCAGGGAACCAGGAACCAGGAACCAGGCAGGCAAGGGCAGCCTGCTCTGTGTCCAGGGAAACTTCCTTGCAACAGGGAAGCTGCTTCCCCAGGAGCTGGACTGGCAGTGGCTGGTGGCCCCACTCCTGAGGGGGCTTCACTGAGGACTCTACAGTATAAAATGTATTAAGATTTATAATGCACAGCCCACAGCATGTAACTATTGAGAGAGAGAGAGAGAGAGAGAGAGAAACTGCCATCTCCTAAAACCAATAAGGTCAGATGTTAGCACAATTATTTCAGTTGTGCACGACATTGTGTTTTTTTTTTAAATGAGAGCCATGTGGCAAAAACCTGAGTGCAGATGCAGTTAAACTGGTTTTGCTGGCATTGCTTATTTTATATGCTGAACGGGAATAATCGTACACTACCTATAGAAAAGTGTTTTGCTGTACAAGCATGGCTGGTAAGTAGGCACATCAAAATACATTTATTTTTGTAAATGTGTAACAGCTGAAGTGTTCAGCAGTTACACATTTACATGCAGAGGGGCAGGCAGCTGGTGCTGGCCAGCTCTCTGTGAGTACTGGCTCTGGCCTCCTCCTTGCCCCCTGCCACTTTTGACACAGAGGCAGCAGCGCAGGGGAGGAAGGCGCCTCAAAGGTAGCCAGTACACACGGAAAGCCGGCTTGAAAGCCAGCTCCCCACATGCACCAGCTGCCACTTCCCCTCCACCTTGCTGCCTCAGATCGAGGGGATTAGTCTGAGGGGGATCTAGGTGTGGAGTGAGAAGGTTCTGTTTGTGTGGGATAATAATAATTTTAGACAGGGAGCCATATCACTAATTTTTGAAGTGATCCCAGGCTGTCCTGGAAGGGGTGGGGCCAGGACACTTTTGTGCTCCCCCTCCCACAGACCCTGATTGGCCTGGGGAGGAGGAAGGGGGACACGAGAAGTCTTTGCCCCCGGCTAAAGTCTTTGCCCTCACCTAGGCTGTGTCCAGACTCAGGGGTTTTTTCGGGAAAAGTAGCCTTTTTCCGAAAAAACTTCACCTGCGTCTAGACTGCAGCCGCGGTCTTTCGAAATTAAATCGAAAGAACGCGGCTTTTCTTTCGACGGCGGTAAACCTCATTTCACGAGGAAGAACGCCTTCTTTCGAAAGTACTTCTTTCGAAAGAAGGCGTTCTTGAATGTAAATAGGGCTTCTTCGAAAGAGAGCATCCAGACTCACTGGATGCTTTCTTTCGAAAAAGCGGCTTGCTCTTTTGAAAGTTCCGCGTGCAGTCTAGACGCTCTCTTTCGAAAGAGGCTTGCAGTCTAGACATAGCCCTGGAGAGAACTGCCAGCTCTTCTGAACAGATGGCGGTTCCCTCTAGGCCAGCATTATAGTGTGTTATGTGGCAGCTGAAGGTGTGCCGCAGAGAGAAAGAATAGAATTAAAAAATGGGGCTGCCCTTAAGGGGCAAGCTTCCCTTTTTTTTTTTTTTTTTTTTTTTTGTGCTCAACATTCCCTGGAGCAATGTTTCCCAAACAGTGCTCCACAGAACCCTGGAGTTCCGTGAAGTGGAACTCAGGATTCCCCCAAAATATTCTGCTCCCCTGCCCCCTGCAGAGCCCGTAGGCAGCTCTTGCTGTGGCTGCCCCGTCCCCAGCCTGCAGGATGGCCCCTGTCCCACGGGGCCTCCG